GACTATTGTATCGTTAAAAATTATTTTTTTATTTTGTACAAACAAAATAAATATATTGAAAAATATAAAAACAATAAAAAATTATAGTTCAGAAGTTAATTTAGTATCAAAAACGTAAAATATTTGAGTAGCCGAAGACATAGCCAAAGATTACAGCACCACAGCACTGGCAAAAATTTAAATTTGTCGACTGGAATTCCTTCGGATAACCGACGTTTCAGATAAAAGACGCTCTACTGTATGATCAAAATAGACATTATAGCTAAAATAAAATGAATACAAGTGATATTTCAATATGTTGATGATTATTTTATAGTTTATAACAATAAAAGTACAAATGTAAATAAAATTAATATAGTTAGCTTATATGCGCTGGAAGAGGAGATTGGACTGGACGTCCTGATAGCGTAAAATTAAAAACATAATAAATAGTACAGATAATGAAATAAAATTTGATATAGTGAATGAAGAAAATAATAAGTACTATATTTAGATGTACTAACAACTAGAAAAAACAGCAGTATAAGTATTAAAAATTATGAAAAAAACAGTGAAGCAAATAAAGTAATACATTATAAATCAAAAGTACAAATGCATATCAAAAAGAATACATTCAGTATGTTTATAAAGAAAATCATAGAAACAACAACTAATCCAAAAGATCAAGAAAAATAAATAAATAACATCATACAAATATATTACTTAATGGGTATAGCAGAAAAATCATTAATAGTTGGTTAAAAAACATCCAAAATTCTAAACTGAATGGAGAAAATACCAAGGATATGAAATTTGTTAAAATGATATATGTACAGTACCTGGTTTATTTGAAAAAACAAAAACAAAGTTAGGAAAAGTGATATTCTATTAGTATCAGAACAGCATAATCAATTAGCCAAAACAATTCAAAATAAAGAAAATGAACCACAAACAGGAATATGGAATAGAAGCAATATTGTATATAAGCTAGATTGCAGTTGCACTGATCCCCACATTTATATAGGGAAATCAAGAGGGAACTCCAAACAAGATTCATGGAGCACATCTGAGCAATAAAAAACAATGACGATAAATCTGCAGTCACTAGACATTGTAACCAAAATGGATGTGAAAAAAATAGAAGAAAATACTAAAGTTCAAAAACACAAAGAAAATACGTTTAAAAGAAAATTATTTGAACATTTAAAAATTATAAAAATAGATAAAAGAACAAACAAAAATACAAGCCTACAGATGCATGAAACTTGGGAGGGTTTCCTAATACCTTGGTCTACAGAACACAGGTGCTCCATGAAGCCACTTCAAGTGTTCCACAAAAAAATCAAATATGGAATTAAAAATTGTCACAAAAGAAAAATCCATACAATGTAAAATAATTTTTGTATGGGAATGTAATCAGCAAACACCAAAGACGACATATACTAGACCAAATGTGCTCTTGATTTCAAAAAGATTTACCACCCCTGCTTTAAAGGTGATTTATTGTAAGTGTTCTGCAGAAAAAAGTAAAGTTTAATGTTCCCTGACTTCAAAAAGATTGAGAACCACAGTC